TTTATATTTCATAGGTAGTTTGAGTTGGTGTTGTGAGCAGGGCTTATTTTATCAAAGTAAATAATTCTGATTCTCTGAAAATCAGAGTCATTTTTGAAAACCACTCTGATGGTCCTGGGTAAAATTTTGAAAACATAGATTTTCTCTGATTTATCACCCTGATGGATTTTCAATAGGGGGTATACCCCAGATTTCTTCCTGTTCTCCCTGTATTCGGCTAAGTCCTCTGGCTACCAGACACACCCCTCTCACACCCCCGCAACATGGATAATTTTGGCCAAGTCCCCCGCAACCAATCACTCACTCGCACACACCCCTCTCATACGCCCCGCAGCCTGTATAATTATTGCGAACGTCCTCCGCTACCAATCACACCCCTCCCATATCCCCCCCCCCACCTGGATAATTTTGGCGAAGTCCTCCACTACTAGTCACTACCCTCTCATAACCCTCGCAACCCAGACACATTCCTCCCTCCCATCCCCAGCCCAACCCAACCCAGCTGTGATCAGTGCTGCTTGACCAGCCCCTTCCGTCACTGATGGCAGTTCTCTGGTGTGTGAAGGCTGGGCGGCACAAACAACACCGCCACTTGTCGCCAACACACGGCGAAGGCGATTGGTCCAGCACTTGTGCCAGCCAATCACTGGTGTGTACCTGTATGTCTACATAGCGGATAGTCCCAAACAAATCCAGCAACATCAGCTGTACTGTAGAATGTTCTGCCATGACAGCCAGGTTTGGCTATTTGCAGATGTTTCCAGCCCGAATGTCCACATGGTGCCCGCCGGAGGCCTAGCTCAATACGTGGCCCAATCAGGAACCATCGCCCATTAGCGTTGTCACACGAGCAACGGCCCACTCAACGTGGGCCGTGAACAGAGCCAGCAGTGCAGCGTCATCATGACAGCGGTGACAAACATACGGCACAAGACTAAAGATGTGCGCCGCAACCGTTTTCGCCACAAACTTCCAGCCGCGCTCGGAATAGCGCTCCGGCGAAGGTCAGCGAGCCTTTCGTTGAGCTCGCAAAATTACACACGCCTCGCTGGGTTTGTTTGTGGCTTGAGCGTCGCCGCATGAAACCGAACGCTGACTTGGCAGCGAAATGGAGTCACGATGTCCCGATGCCAGAGGTCGTTCTCAACATCCGACAGCCAACCCAGGAACAGACTCGAAAACAAATTCCCACAATCCACGCAGTAGTTATTGTTGCGACACGAACCTTCAGTTCGTAATGTAAGAAATATTTAGAACACGCCCGTAATATTTGGAGCTGAAATGCGACTCCAACACCTCACCCCATCACTCTGAGTATAAAAGGGAGCAAACCAAACCAGAAAAAATCACTCAACATCTCACCCGCCAACCACCACTCTGGTGCTACACCAGAGAAACTCACTCTCGCTTGAAAGCGCCGAAACTTAACATAGGGTAACTAAGTGAACAATGGCTCGCCAAAATATGCCACTCAAACCTACCCCGCAAAACATCAAAATGGTAACCTTCGTGCCCGTGCGAAAGGCCCACATGCCCGTGACGATGCCGTGCGAAACCCGTGCGCGTTTTTGTCTACCGGCACCCTGAAAAGTTGTGTTCCTCTGTCAGGCTCAAGGTGTCTGCCAGCGCGAGCTGCGCAGCTGACTGAGAGGCGCTTCGGACCAGTGCCTGCAATTACTCTTTTCAGAGAACCCGACGGATCCCAGTTTCCAACCGAAACTTGACTTACTGGGCAGATTTCGGCAAAAAGTATCGATAACTTGCAGTTTCAGTAGAGGTTACCCGGATAAACGCATGATGCTGTGAAAATGGTGGGGCGTATATCCTACGGCATCGGTACAGTTTCAGAGTTTTTATTTGAAAAAGTGTCAAAAACCCTGACAAATCAGAGTTCGAGGCCTAGGGCACTATGAAAATTAGAGTTAGGCTAAGAGTCGCACGTGAAAATCGGAGTAGTGAAAAAACCAAAAATAAGCCCTGGTTGTGAGATTTGATGTAGGTTAGCACTATGCCCTCCCATTCTTATCACAAAACTCTAATGAGCAGCTCTAGCAATGCTAGACACCATTCGTTTTACCGTCAACAATGTTGGTTTGACTTCAATGTTTGTAGTTAGATAGAAACCAATGTATATACGTGAAGTACACAAAATACAGTGTTACGGGAAGTATACCACCAGAGCTGTTTCAAGCGCTCCTCACCCTAAACAGCACGCAGCGTCGCTCGTAAGGAAGGTATTTACCGCCCTCCGGAGCAGCGCGCAGATCATCACTGTTCGTAGTGAGGATCTTGTCTTCGCCTAAATCGTCAGCTGCACCGTCTTCGTTGAACAAGTCGCTCGCATCACTGCCACCAGCGCTGCTTGCGCCGTCGGATTCGTAGGCGAACGGGCCAGGGCTTATATCGGGGAAATTGCTGTTGGATGATTCCGAGCCAGAAGGGGTATTTTTGTCGTCCATACCGACCTTTACTTCCGCTCCGAAAACGTTAAGTGTAGCGGATCCGATCTGAACGCGTACAAGCGCGCCGTCTTCTCTGGCAGCTCCGGAGCGGAACGCGTTCACCCACTGATCATTCTCGCCGTTTTCGAAATAACTTCTCATCAGCTGCCCGTTGTAGACGAGCTCGCTGGGCCCGCGGATCTCAAAAACGCCGTCGGGAACTTGTGCAATTCCATCAAACCTAGGGACATCCGCGCAAACCAGAGCTGAGCTGTTCCCCTTCGCTTCCGCCACTTCCGCTAGCGTACCGCCGACGATTGACACAATCTCGGATGGCGTTATATCGAGCGGTGCATCGGTCACCAAAGAGGGAAGAGTGATCGTAGGAATCTCGTCCGTCGATCCGTCGAAAGCCAGGTCACACGCGGAGGGTTTAGGGTTCCAGCATTCGAGGGGGAACGGCGCAAAATCTTCCCCGCGAGGAGGCTCTTTGGGGCCCTCGGGGCAAGGAGCGCTGGAGAGGGCCTGGTCGCGGGGCGCGTGATGATGATCATCGCCGTGCGATTCGAGCATGAGCCGGCCGCGAACGGAGGGCTGGGACGCGGGAGCAGAAGCCATCATAGACCGGCGGAGCTGGCGGCGGAGTTGGCGGCCGCTAGCCGCAGTGGGTGGGGGGGCTGTGGGCGCTGACGCGGGCATGTCCGAGAGAGCGGACCGGCGGCGGAGCTGGCGGCGGAGGGAGCGGCGCATCATGCGGCGCCTGGGGGCGGTGGGGACTGGGGCTGGTGCTGACGCCGGCGCCATGTCTGAGAGCACGGATCGGCGGATGGGCAAACGCTTCTGAGATACGGTGGCCTGTGGGAGAACTCTTGAAACCGTTATCTTCTCAGTCGCGCTCTCTGCAGTCGCGTTCTTCTGAGTCGTGGTCTTCTCAGACGCGCTCTTCTTAGGTGCGGTTCTCGAGGCACGTTTTAGCGCGGCGTTAGCATTCGGAGTGGCGGCGGTTGCAGAAACGGGCGAATTCTTATTGGTGCTGGGAGTGGCGGTGGTGGCGGTGACGGCGGCGGCGGGTGCGGCGATTGAACCAGTCGATATCGATTCTGTCACCCGCGTCTTGGCTGCGGGCGGAAGGACGAGATTCTTGTCGTCCGTAGGCTCGATCCTCGATATAAGCTGCCGCCGATACACGTCCCTCCACGCGGCGACGCTGCTAGTGGTGCTGCCTTGTAGCGCTGCCGTGCTCCCGAGGCCGACGTGGTTTAGAAGCGGCTTCAGGAGGCGGCCTAGGAGGGATCGTCGGACAGGGAGAGCGGTTGCTGCGGGGAAGGTGTTGAGGAGAAGAGCGACAAAGAGTGGCAGGAGAAGCACCGAGATCGAGAGCTGTTTGGTGTCCATGATAAATCGTTGGAAGAAAGAAACTGTTCCGGGGGAGTGAAAGACACAAGAGGCCGAACTCGTGGAGGAGTTGGGTGTAATATTGCCCTGATTGGAGTCGCTAGTTGATACTACGCCGGCCTGCTATCAGTGAGCAGATCTGTGAGGCACGAAAAACGACTTTCGAGGGAATTGGCGCCAGAGAATTGCGTGGAGGTGTGAATTCGCCAGAGAGGAATTCGATGGGAAAACTTTGCAGGGAAGGTCGAGCTTTTCAATAAACAACTCGAATTTCACAGATCCGAGTCGCATCCCATTGTCTGATGCATCTATCCCAATGGGCGGTCAGGATGACACCAGGGGCCTCAATTCAAGTGAAGAACAAGGGCGATCAGGAGAATGCGAGCGTCTCGGCAGAAATGACCAGGTCAACGCCGCAACCTAGGGGTGCGAATGTAGGTCCGTCGTCCGACAACGTGAGACTACAACCGTACAGTACATCGCACAGAACTTGTACAGTAACTTGGGCGAACATCGGATGTCTGACAATCCGACATTTTGTTCGCACTGATCCTTTGCTGTCTGTCTGAACTGAATTGTCGCATGGCGGCGCTGGACCTTCGTGGAAGGTCCAAACAGAGCATGGAGTGGAGATGGAGCGTTGAAAAGGTCCGCTAAAAACATTTGAACGTGTCTGATTGGACCACCTGGCTGGTTCATGGCAGATATGCTGACCGCTTGGCAGACCGTAAAAAATGTTCCGACCAAACCGTCGTCAGAATCCCAAGGCAATGCGAACGCCTTCGACCTGACCTACATAAAACTAGCAGGCTGGTCGTCCTCTAGATGTCCAGGGAAACGGAAGTGAACCCGTCAGCCGGCAGAGCTTGAGAGAGGAGTAAACTTCGCGGCTAGCAAGTTGCGATCCTGCCCAAACGCACTTCGGATTGTATGCTGTGCGACCCTCGCAATGTCGTCTGTTGAGAAGAAACGTTCCGCGGAAGCGCACTGGACCACTGTAATATGATCTTCGTTATTAGTATTTGTTCAATATAGTTTGTCTGTGGGAGGCATTTTTGTTGGTACATTTCTTGAAATGTACATTTCAATTTACATATTTACCTTGGCTCAAAGTAGCTCCACCCTTACTTCAAATGTCGCCCTCTCCCATGCTCCCTTGGGCATACTGTCGTGATCGTCTTTTGTAACCACCTCGCGTCGCCGATCAACCCTCGTATACGCTCCCCGAGGCCCGCTTGCGCTGGTAACCAGTAACACTCGCGTCGCCCACCAACTCGCTGATGGTTGCCAGGGCTCTTTTTCGCCATCGAGAAGCTCCCCGTCGCTTATCCCTGCTCCTCGCGTCGCTTTCCGAGTCGCGTCGCTCATCCCCAGCGCTTCTCTTCTCCGCGTCCTCACACATTCACCATGGCGCTGCTCCAGAGGAGCCGTTTTTTAGAATGATAAAAAATGGTTCTGCTGCTCTCTCACCACCGCAAGCGCGCTACGGCTCCTCACCATGCGTCGATCTATCGGCGCGCCGCGGCTCCAGCGGCGGATCTTCCGCCGCACCTGGCGGCGAGACGATCCCGAGAGTCTCAATCGGAGGGGAATCTCCCGCCGAGGACTCTATATCGCGGACGTCTGTGCCCGTGGTGATTGTGGGAGCGGGACCTGTGGGCCTCTCCCTCTCCATCATGCTGTCTCGATTAGGTGAGGCAAAATGCATGCGTTATAAGCAGCCTCGTTAGTGCCCGTGGTGATCGTGGCGTGTGGGGCATGTGTGCCTCTCCCTCTCCATCATGCTGTCTCGATTAGGTAAGGCAAGATGCATGCGTTATAAGCTGTCTCGTTAGTAATGAGTCGATTTTTGAGTCGACTCAAAAATCGACTCTCCATCATGCTGTCTCGATTAGGTAAGGCAAGATGCATGCGTTATAAGCTGTCTCGTTAGTGCCCGTGGTGATCGTGGCATGTGGGGCCTGTAGGCCTCTTACTCTCCATCATGCTGTCTCGACTAGGTAAGAAGAAATGAACGCTCTATAAGCTGTCCCGGTTACTGCCATAACCAATAGCAGGCGCGAGGCATGTGGGCCTCTCGCTCTCCATCATGCTGTGTCGACTAGGTGAGAGAAGTGCATGCGTTATAAGCAGTCTCGTTAGTGCCGGTGGTGATCGTGGCGTGTGGGGGATGTGCGCCTCTCCCCTCTCCATCATGCTGTCTCGACTAGGTGAAGCAAAATGCATCCGTTATAAGCTGTCTCGTTAGTGCCCGTGGTGATTGTGGCGTGTGGGGCATGTGGGGCTCTCCCTCTCCATCATGCTGTCTCGACTATGTAACGAGAGTACAACGCTTTATAAGCTGTCCCAGTTACGGCCATAACCAGCAGCAGGCGCAGGGCATGTGGGCCTCTCTCTCTCCATCATGCTGTCTCAGTTAGGTGAACAGTAAAGCATGCACTATAAGCTGTCGCGAGTCTCTGTTTCGAGGACGCGTCTCGTACCTTGTATCACGCCGCGTATCCCGTCCCCTGGCCCCTCCTCCCTAGGCCTATGGAATGTGGTGGTAGAGAGAGAGAGAAAGGCCTGCAGCAGCAGCAGCAGCACTAGGTTGTTATGGCGTCAGTGCTTTGTTCTCTCTGCTTCTCTCCTCCTCCTTCCCCTCTCAGGCATTAGGAGTGTGTTGGTTGGTGGGGCAGCAGCAATAGGAGAATCACATGCAGGCTGCGCGGCCCCTCTTCCTCTCCTTTCTCTCAGGCATTCTCAGTGTGGTGGTGTAGAGGGAGAAATGCTTTTGTTTTTAGGCGCCTCAAAAATAGACTCCTCGTGGTGTAGAGGGAGAAATGTTTTTTGTTAGGCGCCTCAAAAATAGAATCCTCGTGGTGTAGAGGGAGAAATGTTTTTTTTTTTAGGCGCCTCAAAAATAGACTCCTCGTGGTGTAGAGGGAGAAACGGTTTTTTTAGGCGCCTCAAAAATAGAATCCTCGTGGTGTAGAGGGAGAAATGTTTTTTTTTTTTAGGCGCCTCAAAAATAGAATCCTCGTGGTGTAGAGGGAGAAATGTTTTCTTTTTTTAGGCGCCTAAAAAATAGACTCCTCGTGGTGTAGAGGGAGAAATGTTTTTTTTTAGGCGCCTCAAAAATAGACTCTTCGTGGTGTAGAGGGAGAAATGGGTGTTACACTCGACGCGCATTATGAAGAGCATGCACTGCTTCCTCTCTCCCCCTTTCCTCTTTAGGCATTGGGAATGTGGTGGTGGAGAGGGAGCAACGGCTGCAGCAGCACTAGGAGGAGAGGGATGTGGGCTGCTACACATTAAGAAAGTTACACCCCATTGGTTTTTTTCCCTCTCCCCCTTTCCTCTTCAGGCATTGGGAATGTGGTGGTGGAGAGGGAGCACGGCCTGCAGCACGCTAAGACGGCCACATTGCGCATGAGCTGTGCCTCTCCCCTCCTCCCCCTTCTCCCCCTTTCCTCTTTAGGCATTGGGAATGTGGTGGTGGAGAGGGAGCAAGGGCTGCAGCACGCTGAGACGGCCACATTGCGCATGAGCTGTGCCTCTCCCCTCCTCCCCCTTCTCCCCCTTTCCTCTTCAGGCATTGGGAATGTGGTGGTGGAGAGGGAGCAAGGGCTGCAGCACGCTGAGACGGCCACATTGCGCATGAGCTGTGCCTCTCCCCTCCTCCCCCTTTCCTCCTTAGGCATTGGGAATGTGGTGGTGGAGAGGGAGCACGGCCTGCAGCTGCACCCAGCAGCGCACCTTATCAACAACAGAAGCATGGAGGTGTGATGGGTGTGGTCGGGGCATAAGATGGCTTGCGACGCCATGTGATGCCATGTGATGGCTGTCATGCCATGGCATGGCACGGCATGGCATGTGATGGCTGCAATGCATTCGTAAGGGGCAAGTTTTCTTACCCTCCAGAAAATTTTCACCTTCTGCCCCCCTTTGTAGTCTCATTTTTTAGTCGACTCAAAAGTCTTTGTAGCCTCATTTCCCCTCAACAACGCCTTTCCACATCTGCCGTCTCTTGCTTATATAACGATAGAATGGTCCGGCCTTAGTTCTCTTTTCACCCAATCACTGCCATTATCACGCATCCTTCTCGTTACAATCACTTCAAGTGCGTGCGCAATCACGTCCCAGCAGCCTCTTCCTGCGCTTTTTTTTTCCCCCCCTGAATTCCCACCTATTCCAGATATTTCGCCTGATGGGCCCCCTTTATAGTCACATCACGTTGCAGCAGCCCCCATTAGAGGAGTGGCGCTCGTTTGTGCACTGCACTCACATGCTGGGACGGATGCTGGGCCGGCAGGACCACTTCAAAGGGCAGGAAGGTAAGGGAAGGTAAGGGAAGGGAAGGGAAGGGAAGGGAAGGGAAGGGAAGGGAAGGGAAGGGAAGGGAAGGGAAGGGAAGGGAAGGGAAGGGGAGGGGAGGGGAGGGGAGGGGAGGGGAGGGGAGGGGAGGGGAGGGGAGGGGAGGGGAGGGGAGGGGAGGGGATGGGGAGGGGAGGGGAGGGGAGGGGAAGGGAGGGAGGGGAGGGGAGGGGAGGGGAGGGGAAGGGAAGGGTGCAGGGCTGTCCGCCGTCAGTCCAGCCGCTGTGGCGCATCTCTCTCAGAACAAACCCCATAGCCACCGCCCTCCCGTGTTCTCTACCTTCCCCCTTCAACCCCACACACACGTGCAGGGCTGCCTGCCATGCCATGCCATCAGTCCAGACTCTGTGGTGCATTTCTGTCGAAACAAACAGGAAGATCCGTAACCGAACCATAACCTCAACCACAATGTTCTCTACCCCTCCCACCCCCTCCCACCCCCTCCCACCGCACATGCAGGCCTTTCTGCCATCAGTCCAGCCTCTGTGGCGCACTTTTCTCAGAACAAGCTGCTGCCGCTGCTGCTGCAAGAAGCAATAAAGTCAAGCAATGAGGTGTTACCCCACGAGTGGTTACCACCTGACGAGCGACTGCCACCTGACGAGCGGTTACAACAGGTTGCGAACTTTCCACCGAGAAAATTGTTGCAGCTGCCACCTGTTCTCTTTGGCTACACTGCTGATTCCTTCTACATTCAATCCCAGCCGTCGATTCATTCCTCTCCCTCTTCATCCAACACCTCTGCCAGCTCCCAGACCATCCCCTTTATAAGCTCAGCATTGGAGAAGCGCATAAAAGTCAGTCTCTATGCTACACCAAATGCAGCCCCTTTTCTCTCAGAAGACTCCTTGACTCAGAAGCAACAGCACCAGTACCATAATCAGCAGCACCACCACCAACACCCACCTACACCCTCCTCCCCATCCCCTTCTCTCATTTCTCCCCCTCCTCTCCCCCCAAACCTTGAGATCGACTGCTCCTACCTCGTAGCATGCGATGGTGCAAGCAGCAGCATCCGGGCGGCAAGTTTTGTCCCTGTTCAGCCGGACCAATGGCAAGAAGCAGCCAGGCTGGACTCCACTCGTGTTACAAGGACGCCTCGAAACGGACTGATCTCTACTTCTCCGGGCAGAAGACCAGAAGAGACCCAGAAACTAGTCACTACTCCGGCTCACAAGCAAGAAGAGACAAGTCGTGCTGGCAGTTGTGGGCACGGAGCAGGAGAGGCCAAGCGGGTGACGATGCACGGCCACCGGCAGCTGCAGCGGGTGTTATCAGTGCACTTCTCCTCGAGACCCCTCGGGCTGAGGCTGCTAGCTCTGCCCCGCCCAGCCATGCTCTACTTTGTGTACAACAGGGAGGGCGTGGGAGTGGTGGTGGCGCATTGCCTGAGAGAAGGGGAGTTTGTCGCTCAGGTACTATGCGTCTGCATGGCACAGACATGTGGGAGGGCTGTGTGGTGCCGGCACTCCCCCTCGGGCTGAGGCTGCTTGCTCTGCCCCGCCCGGCCATGCTCTACTTTGTGTATAACAGGGACATGAGGGGGGTGGCAAGACATGAGGGGGGTGGCAAGACATGAGGGGGGTGGCAAGACATGAGGGGGGCGGCAAGACATGAGGGGGGCGGCAAGACATGAGGGGTGGGTGTGAGCGATAGCAATGCACACTTCTGAGCATTTCCTTGTTCCTTGTACCGAGTACTGCGTGAGGAGTCTATTTTTCAGGCGCCTCAAAAATAGACTCTTGTACCGAGTACTGCACCTTGTATTTCCTTCCCCTCTGTGCCTTGTATTGCCTCCCATGCCCTCTGTTCTCTCCCCTCTGTTCTGGTGGATTCTTTGCCCTCCCTCCCCTTGTTCTCTGCCCTGTGCCCCTTAGATTCCTCTTTTCTCCGAAGGGCGTGATGCCAGATCCAAGGAGGTGAGTGCGTGGTTCATACAGTCATTGATGCACGAGGTATTGATGGTGCACGAGGTGTTGATGGTGCACGAGGTATTGATGGTGCACGAGGTGTTGGTGGTGCACGAGGTGTTGGTGGTGCACGAGGTGTTGATGGTGCACGAGGTGTTGGTGGTGCACGAGGTGTTGGTGGTGCTCGAGGTATTGATGGTGCACGAGGTATTGATGTTGCACGAGGTGTTGGTGGTGCACGGGGTAGTGATGGTGCACGAGGTGTTGGTGGTGCACGAGGTGTTGGTGGTGCACGAGGTGTTGGTGGTGCACGAGGTGTTGATGGTGCACGGGGTATTGATGGTGCACGAGGTATTGATGGTGCACGAGGTATTGATGGTGCACGGGGTATTGATGGTGCACGAGGTATTGATGGTGCACGAGGTGTTGGTGGTGCACGAGGTGTTGGTGGTGCACGAGGTGTTGGTGGTGCACGAGGTGTTGGTGGTGCACGAGGTGTTGGTGGTGCACGAGGTGTTGGTGGTGCACGAGGTATTGATGGTGCACGAGGTGTTGGTGGTGCACCAGGTGTTGGTGGTGCACGAGGTGTTGGTGGTGCACGAGGTGTTGATGGTGCACGAGGTGTTGGTGGTGCACGAGGTGTTGGTGGTGCTCGAGGTATTGATGGTGCACGAGGTATTGATGTTGCACGAGGTGTTGGTGGTGCACGGGGTAGTGATGGTGCACGAGGTGTTGGTAGGCATGAGCAAAGGGTCGGGTCGGGTCGGGTAACCCGACCCGAACCCGACTTTTTGACGGGTCGGGTCTGTTTCCCCGTCGGGCGAACCCGACCTGTCGGGTTTGTTTTTTACCCGACGGGTCGGGTCAACCCGAACCCGACATGCACGGGTTCGGGTCAACCCGACATGTCGGGTTGACCCGACCCGACTTCGGGTAAATGCAGTCGGGTTGACCCGACCCGACCCGACCCGAAATCGGGTCGCGCGTCGACCCGACGCGATTTTGAGATCTGCGCGCAGATCTCAAAATTTTGAGTTTTAGGGTTGAAATTTCAAACTGAAAAATCACTCTCCTATTTCGACCTCGACTTTCCCATACTCCTACCTAGCAACAATGGAGTTCTAACGGTTGAATGTTAGGCAGCAGCTGTTCCTTCTTTATCTCATACATACTGAAAGGACATTAGCCTTAAGCAACTCATATTTCTTAAGGAAACAGCCCGCATTTCTTAGGGAAAGTTTCCAACAAAGTGGCTAGTACATTTGTGGCATTGTTCCGTGGAATCTAGGGCCATCTTAGATATCTATGGTTTCCATAGGTCTCTAAAGGGGGCTGAACTAGGGGAGGGCCTAGATTGTAGGTGTCAGTGGCCTACACGGCGGCGAATGGAAGGCGGACTCAGCGGTGGCGATCAGGGCAGAAGCAATGGAGAGGATGGGGGGTTTAGGCCGCACGGCCCACACGCGGCGTCGGTGCAGACCGGCGTTGACAGTTCGGCGCTGCCCGGGATGTCCCTTGCCCTCGTGCCCGTCGCCGGCGCGCCACAGAGCTTCGCCCTTGGCTCCATCAACGCCGACAACGAGTGGGATGGCACATGGCACCGGGATTTCAGCATGGACGACGAGGGGTGGGAAAGGAACCGGATTCCGGAACTTACAGCAGGGGTGAAGGGGGGACAGCGTGACAATGACCCGGATTATGGCCCGGGAGAGGAGGAGATGGAGGCATGCGAGTCCGGGGACGATGGCCCACGCCCCGGAAAAAAGGGGAGTGGGAGGAAGAGCGGGAAGGGTGGCGGAGGGGGGCGTGGGAAAGGGGCGGGTGCTGACCTAGGGGCCATGGACGCACGCGCTGCTGCTGGTGGGGGGGAGGACAGCAGGGAGCCTGGAGTGGCAGGGGTTGTGGAGGGGGCAGCAGAGGCCAAGGAGACAAGGGCCGGCCAGGGTGCGCGTGGTGGAGAAAGGGGCAAGCAAGGGGCCAAGCGCAGTAAGGGGAAGGGGAAAGCACGGTCTGGGTCTGGGGGGGGGACTGCGGGGGCTGGTGTGGGGCACCCTAAGCGTGGTAGAGAGGGGGAGGTGGAGGAGGAGGAGGAGGGCATCGGGGGCAGGATCCCAGGCCTCATGCAAGGTATGTTCGACGTGACCGACGACCCTCTTAAGCGTGCATGTAGGTGCTGCGAGCAGACGGTTTACTGGGCAGGCAGCAGCACGGGCAGCACCTGGAAGCATGCCCGCCTTTATCACCACCCCCACCTCCAAATCTGGCACCGTCTCTTCACAAACCTCAAGAAGCAGCCGGGTTTGGAGTTCCCCCTCAAGGGGTATCCGAACGTGCCACATCAGCGGGAGGCCTGGCCGCATGCTGACAGCTGGCCGCGGCTTCCTGCTGGTCCGGCGACGGCGCAGGTGGAGGCTGGAGCGGGGCAGCCGAACTTACACAAGTTCATGGCACCTCGACTGTCCTTGCAGCGACTGCGACAGGCACTCGTCGAGCTGCTTGCTGACGCCGACCTGGCGTATCGTCTCGTCGAGCGCCCATCGGTGAGCCCGCGCATACTCTACTTGTTACTTTCAAAGTCCATTGTTGAGTGGAGTGTAGATTTGTCACATCGGTGCCATCAATCCGCCAAAACCCTCATTCTGCCCAGCTGCCACCCCTTTCTCCGCCCATCCCTTTTCCAGTTCCTGCGGTTTTGCTCGCTGCTGAACCCACAAGCTGCGAACATGCTCGGCAACCGGTTTCGACTGGCACGTGACATGTTGACGCACGGGGATGCTGCACGCGAATGGCTGCAGCAAGAGGTGGCCGGTGACGGGGCAGCAGGGAAGGTTTCCTTCACGACTGACATTTGGACCAGCCCCAGCAAGCAGGCCTTCATGACCGTCACGGGCCACTACATCTCATCGGACTTCAGGATGCGGCAGATGACTTTCGAGTTCAAGCAGCTCCATGGGTCGCATACGGGAGAACTCATTGCGGACGTGTTCGAGAAGATCCTCATCGAGTGGGGATTGCTGGGCGAAGTGTTTGGCGTGACGACGGACAACGCCGAGAACAACGCTAAAGCTTTCAAGATCCTTGCCGGCGACAAGACGTACCCCAGTTCCCGCACCGCTACCCCAGTCTTGATGCAGGACATGCACTTCAGGTATGCCGCTTAAAACAACGTTTTTGCATATGCTTTAAAAGCTGCCCCTCACGTCCCAAGGGAACCAACAATATAGGATGACTACAGTCCCCTCAATTCTCCCCCCGCCCAACACCTCTTGCCCCCCACCACACTCCATCCACCATGGCCTGCAAGGTGCCTTGCGCACATATTGAACCTGGCGGTGCAAAAGGCACTGGGAGTGGGGGCGGTCGCTGAGCCGTTGAAGCGTTTTAGAGACCTGGCTACGCATGTCGGGTGGTCTATCACACGTTCCGAGCGCTTTGAGGAGGACCAGCGTAGAGTGGCAGAGGTCCCTGGGGGGGGGGCCTTGCGACTCATGACGGACACGCCCACACGCTGGGGCTCCACCTACGAGATGCTTAAGAAATATGAGTTGCTTAAGGCTAATGTCCTTTCAGTATGTATGAGATAGAGAAGGAACAGCTGCTGCCTAACATTCAACCGTTAGAACTCCATTGTTGCTAGGTAGGAGTATGGGAAAGTCGAGGTCGAAATAGGAGAGTGATTTTTCAGTTTGAAATTTCAACCCTGAAACTCAAAATTTTGAGATCTGCGCGCAGATCTCAAAATCGCGTCGGGTCGACGCGCGACCCGATTTCGGGTCGGGTCGGGTCGGGTCGGGTCGGGTCAACCCGACTGCATTTACCCGAAGTCGGGTCGGGTCAACCCGACATGTCGGGTTGACCCGAACCCGTGCATGTCGGGTTCGGGTTGACTCGACCCGTCGGGTAAAAAACAAACCCGACGGGTCGGGTTCGCCCAACGGGGAAACGGACCCGACCCGTCAAAAAGTCGGGTTCGGGTCGGGTTACCCGACCCGACCCGACCCTTTGCTCATGCCTAGGTGTTGGTGGTGCACGAGGTGTTGATGGTGCACCCGCGGCATGTGGGGACGACGAATGGTCTGAGGGAAAGATGGAACAATGACATGAGGAAGTGTCGGTGGTGGCTCTGGCTCTCCGTCGGCAGCATCTTCCCAGTGTAGCTCATCATCGTCCTGCCAGTCGTTGTCCCACTCCTCGGGACGACTAGAAATCAGAGACGATGGATAGGGAGGTGCGGGAGGAGCAGGTGGGGCAGGAAGTGCAGGAGGCGCGGGAGGCGCAGGCGGTGCTGGCGGCGCAGGTGGTGCTGGAGGGATCGACGGAAACGTACGGAGAAGAAACTGACTACCGTGGGGAGGACGATGGGTTTGCAAAACCGAGAGGCCGCTAACAGCACGGGCCGCCATGAGTGAATCTCTGCGTACAAAATCGCCTCGGCGGACTAGTGCCCGAGGCTCTGCTAGAGAGGTTGGACATCGCGAAGGGTTTTCTGCAAGGAAAACAATACTGGAACGCTAAAATGACGCAGCGACAATAAACGGATGAACAAGGAACGTGGGCCGACCCTCTTCCCGAGCCGCGCACGGTTCTTGACAGCCAAAAAACACCATCACATGCTAGCATGCGATGGTCTGGTCAAGAACAGGCCTGACGTTTAAAAAACGCCATCCCCATCGCCATCGCCATCCCCATCCCCATCCCCATCCCCATGGCCATCCGTTCTGTCAAGTCATGGATCATGAGTCACCTCGCGCCTCGTGATCATGGTGATGATGAGTCACCTCGTACCTCGTGATCATGGTGATCATGAGTCGCCTCGCACTACCTCGCATCACCACCACCTATGCTCTCCTATCCCTTTGGCCAATTCCATCTCCCTCTACTACCAGGAGTGTGAGCGCATGGTGCGAGCACTGCTTGGTGATGCTTCCATCCCCATTGCCATCTGCTCTGTCAAGCCGTGGATCATGACTGCTCAAGTTGCCAAGCTCTGTCTCAAGGCGCACTGTTTGTTTCTACCATTGTCCTCCCACTGACAGGAGTGTGAGCACATGGTGCAGGCATCAGTGGGATGGGATACCTCTCTCAAACCATTGCACCTCATCCCTCCCCCCTCTCCTGCCGTCAATACAGGAGTGTGAGCGCATGGTGCGAGCATTGATCGGTGATGCTTCCGTCCCCATCGCCATCCGCTCTGTCAAGCCGTGGATCATGGCGGCTCAAGTCGCCTCGCACTACCTCGCATCCCCGGCACCATCACTGTCTTTTGAATCCGTTCCTGCTGCTACAGCTGCTGCTGCTGCCGATGCTGCTGCTTCCAACGTTGCTGCTTCCAACGTTGCTCCTGCCGATGCTGCTGCTGCCAATGCTGCTGCTTCTGTGAAAGATCGCAGTGACAAGCATATGCAGGGGGAACATGGGGAGTACGAGCCCCGTGTGCTGCTAGTCGGAGATGCGGCCCATCGCTTCCCCCCTGCTGGCGGCTTTGGTACGTGCTTTGATAACATATTTGGTAGTTTACATATGCGTCATGTTTTAGGCAGGGAGAGAAGGCCAGTGGCCAGTGGGTCAGTGGCCGTTGCCAGCACTCACCTCAGCGCCAGTGACTGACGTTGCCAGTGGGCCAGTGGTCGTTGCGTGCCCTCTCTCTCCCCATTTTCCCTTGACAAGCCCCCCCAACAGGCCTCAACACGGGGGTGCAGGACGCACACAACAACCCGCTTGGAAGCTGGCAGTCGTGCTCAAAGGGTCGCACTTTTTTCTCTTCTAGCCACGTACGAGGGGGAGAGGCGATTGCCAATAATAACCTCTGTGTCATTTGCTTCTCCTTCCTCTCCTCCCACCGTTTTCTCCCCTCTTCTCATCACAACTCCGACCAGGCATGAACACAGGGGTGCAAGACGCCCACAACCTGGCTTGGAAGCTGGCAGCCGTGCTCAAAGGGGTCGCGTCTCCCTCTCTTCTCGCCACCTACGAGGCGGAGAGGAGGCCGGTGGCCATCTCCAACACCCATCTGAGCGTCAGCAACTTCGAGTCCGCCCTGGCTGTTCCCCGTGCCCTGGGTCTCGAGCCCAATGCTGCCAGGTAACCTTCCCCGATTCCCTCCTCCCTTCTCTACTAGCCACATACGAGGCAGAGAGGCGGCCAGTGGCCTTCACCAAACACTCCTTTGAGTGTCTCCAACTTCGATTCCGCCCTGGCTTTTCCCCGTGCCCTGGATCTCGAACCCAACGCTGCAAGGTAGTGATTCGGGTGCTGCTAGACATTCTCAACGCCTCCTTTTACCAGCAGCATGTCTGTCTCAAGGAGAAGGGTGAGTGGAGTCTCGAGGAGAATAGTAGAGGCTGCTGCTGCTACCTTCGAGTCTGCTCTGGCTGTTCCCTGTGCTCCGGGTCTCAAACCCTACGCTGCAAGGTAGTGATTCCAAACGCTGCCACGTATGTCTGCTCTACCGTGTGTGTCCTCCCCTTTCCATATTTCTGCTCCTCGCTGTGCAAGGGAGCTATGGCCCCCTTATTCCCAGCTTTCCTCCCATGTGTTTTTTGAGTTGACTTTACTTAAAATATACCGTTTCTCGTCCTCTCCTTTCCATATTTTTGCTCATCTCTATGCAAAGGAGCTATCGCCCCCTTATTCCAATTTTCCCTGTATTTTTCCTTTTCCCACTCCCATAGTTCCCCCTTATTCCCACTCCCATAGTTCCCCCTTATTCCCACTCCCATAGTTCCCCCTTATTCCCACTCCCATAGTTCCCCCTTATTCCCACTCCCATAGTTCCCCCTTATTCCCACTCCCATAGTTCCCCCTTATTCCCACTCCCATAGTTCCCCCTTATTCCCACTCCCATAGTTCCCCCTTATTCCCACTCCCATAGTTCCCCCTTATTCCCACTCCCATAGTTCCCCCTTATTCCCACTCCCATAGTTCCCCCTTATTCCCACTCCCATAGTTCCCCCTTATTCCCACTCCCATAGTTCCCCCTTATTCCCACTCCCATAGTTCCCCCTTATTCCCACTCCCATAGTTCCCCCTTATTCCCACTCCCATAGTTCCCCCTTATTCCCACTCCCATAGTTCCCCCTTATTCCCACTCCCATAGTTCCCCCTTATTCCCACTCCCATAGTTCCTCCTTATTCCCACTCCCCCCATTTCGCTCTTCCCTTCCTTCCCGTACTTCCCCCTCCCCCAGCCTTTTTTCAGCCGCCCTTTCCTCCTCAACTGCCAATCAACTCCTGCCACGTCAGCTCCAATCGACCCTCATAGAAGCTGGGCTAGCAGCGGGGCGACAGCTGCTGCTCTCTGATTGGCTCCTGAATCCAGCCAATCCCGTGGGGAGGGAGCGGATGGCAGCTGTTAAGAGGAGTTTAGAACAAGGGAAGAGCCTGCAGCTGCTGTTTCCACAGCATGACTTGGGATTCAGGTGGGTGGGTGGGTAGGTGGTTCAAGCGAAGCAACACAGCCAAAGGGAGGCATGAATATCAGGAGGGAATGCACACAGCAGCAGTAAAGAGGGGCCTGGGAGGGAGGGAGGGAGGAGTTTAGAAGAAGGGAAGAGCCTGCAGCTGCTGTTTCCACAGCATGACTTGGGATTCAGGTGGGCGTTTCTAGAGGCATAACAATTTTCCAGAGCAGGGAATGCACCTAGCAGTGGTGAGCAATGTTGAGTTTAGACGAAGGGAAGAGCCTGCAGGTGCTGTTTCCACAACACGACTTGGGATTCCGGTGGGTGAGTGTGAGCTCTGTCAAGGCGTGCAAGGGAGGAAGGGACAGGGGCGGTAAAGAGGAGTCTGGAGGAGGGGACGAGCCTGCAGCTGCTGTTTCCTCAGCTTGAGCTGGGATTCAGTTGGGTGTTTTATGAGAGGGAAGAGGTAACACATTGCAGGTAGACTTGAGCATTTTACCCGGTCGGGTCGCGGGTACCCGACCCGACCCGAAATTTTGGCCGGGTGGGGTAATAGGATTTTGAGGAATTACCCGGCCGGGTCGGGTCGGGTACTCGGGCCGGGTAATGCATAGCCGTTACCCGAGAATTACCCGAAATGTCGGGTAATTTATTACCCGTCGGGTCGCGGGTACCCGACCCGACTTTGGGTTTGTTACTCTGGGTTTGCTGGATTTTACAGCCACCTAGGGGTACCCGGGTGATATTAACCGACTTCAATTAAATGCGGGTCGGGTATACCCGACCCGCCAGACGGGTACCCAATTACCTGGTATTAAAATGTCGGGTCAGGTAACAGACCTCCAAACATTACCCGGAAATTACCCGACCTGACCCGACCCGGACCTGACTGCGGGTAGGGCAAAACCGGGTCGGGTCGGGTAATTACCCGGTTTTGCTCATGTCTAATTGCAGGGGTACAGCAATGAGAGAAGGGAAAGTGGAGTAAAGTGGAGTTTAGAGGAGAGAAGGTTTGCAGCTGCTGCTCCCACAATAAGATATAAGACTGGGGTGGGTGTCCTGCCTAGTTTCTGAGCTGTCTCAGACTAATAATGTAGGTGATTTTCTAGAATTCTCAAAAATCACCTACGGTTTTGAGGCGCCTCAAAACTAGAATTCTCAAAAATCACCTGCGGCACGATACGACTGGAAAAAAGGTGACTTTTGAGTCGACTCAAAAAGAAATGAGGCGCTTTTTGAGGCGCCTCAAAAATCGACTGGAAAAAAAGTGACTTTTGAGTCGACTCAAAAATCATCTCAAGGGAATAGAGCTGAGCTGATGTGCAACAGTAATGAGGAGTCCGGAGGAAGGGGAGAGTCTGCGGCTGCTGCTGCTCCCACCCATAGCACGACTTGGGATTCAGGTGGGTATTTCAAGTTGAGTCGTCTATTTTTGAGGCGCCTCAAAAAAATTATTTCAAGTTGGTGACACCTGCAAAAAAGTATTTCAAGTTGATGGCAAAGGCAAAAGGAGCTGCACTCTACTGAACTCAACACCCACCCCAACCCTCGCAGGTACAAGGAGGGAGCTCTGTCCCTATCCCCCTCAGACGCCACTGAAGCAGCAGCGTACGATAAACAGGCAGGCAGTGCCAGCAGCACCTCTTTCACGCCCTCAACTCTCCCCGGCGCTCGCCTGCCGCACCGTATGCTGAGGCTGCTGCTACCCTCCGCTGCAACTGACCATCAGTCTCCTCTCAAGCTCCAAATGGTGAGTCATCTCCTGCTCTCCCTGGCGCTCGCTTGCCGCACCGCATGCTGAGGCTGCTGCTGCCCTCTGCTGCAACTGGCGATGAATCTTCTCTCAAATTCCAAATGGTGAGTCACCGCCCCTGGTTCTGGTGCTCGCTTGCCCCACCACATGCTGAGGCTCCTGCTACCCTCGGCTGCAACTGACCATCGGTCTTCTCTCAAGTTCCAGATGGTGAGTCACCGCCCCTCCTCTGCCTGGCGCTCGCCTGCCCCCCGCATGCTGAGGCTGCTGCTACCCTTGGCTGCAACTGGCAATGAGGCACGGTGGTATGAGGATCCCCAGGGTGCAAGCACTACCCCACCTGGTCGCAACTATCCAAGGGTGAGTCACCTCACCGCCTGCTCTCCTTGGCACTCGCCTGCCCCCCCGCATGCTGAGGCTGCTGCTGCTCTCGGCTGCAACTGGCAATGAGGCACGGTGGTTTGAGGAGCCCCAGGGTGCAAGCACTACCCCACCTGGTCGCAACTATCCAAGGGTGAGTCACCTCACCGCCTGCTCTCCTTGGCACTCGCCTACCCCCCGCATGCTGAGGCTGCTGCTGCCCTGAGCTACAGCTGGCGATGAGGTGACTTTTAAGTAGACTCAAAAGTCATCTCGACTGCTGCTGCCCTGTGCTACAGCTGGCGGTGAGGTGACTTCTGAGTCGACTCAAAAGACACCTCGGCTGCTGCTGCCCTGTGCTACAGCTGGCGATGAGTCTCCTCTCAAATTGCACCAGTCTGGTGACTCCCAGACCCTCCTCTCAAACTCCAAGTGGTGAGTCACCTCACCGCCCCTCTTTCAGTTCAGGGGCTCACTTGCCCCCCGCATGCTGAGGCTGCTGCTGCCCTGTGCTGCAACTGACGATCAAAACACGCACCACCAGCCTCCAACCTCATTTTGCCCCATCCTTCCCCCTCGCATTGCAGGGAGATATAAGGTTGGTTTTGAGACGTCTCAAAACCAACCTTATATCAAAACACGCACCAGCCTCCAACCTCATTTTGCCCCATCCTTCCCCCTCGCATTGCAGGGCCCCTCAATTTCGTCCATCGACCTCTCCCCTCTCGGCTCCATCACCCCCACGCTCCTCCTCCCCCTCGGGCCCCACACTCCCCTCTGGCTCGCCTCCTCTCTCCTCTGTCACTCCCTCAATCGCCTCCCCCTCCGCCTCGCCCTCCTGGCCCCCCACCCCTCCTCCTTCTCCTCCCTCCCTGCCCTCCTTGCCCCCCTGGGCCTTGGCATACGACCTGCAAGGAGAGGACAGGCAGGCACGGAAGGGGATGGTAGTGGTAACAGTGTAACAGGGAAGGGGGACAGTGCAAGGGGGTTGGTGTACAGTGAAACGGGTGATGCAGTTTCGCCCTGCTTCCGCCTTATGCCCTTACCAGGCACTGGTAGTAGCCCAGCAGCTCCTGTGGCCGCTGCTACTGATGCTTCTGTTGCTGCTGGTTGTGGTGGTGCTGCTGCTGCTTCTGCTGCTGCTGCTTCTGCTACTGGTGCACCTCGTCCCACTCCTCCGGCTTCTGCTGCAGCTGCTACAGCTGCTACAGCTGCTACAGCTGCTACAGCTGCAATGGCTGTCACAGGTTCGAACCGCACATCTCTTGAGGTCGTTCTCTTAACAGATCACACCCCACCCAGGCAAGAACACAGAGATCCAGGAGGTTCTAGGGGCTCCCAAGAAGGGGGGGGCATGCGAGAGAGTGGGAGCTCCCAAGAGGAAGGGGGGGCGCAAGAGGGGGGGAGCTCCCGAGAGGAGGGGGGGTCAGGTTGGCTGGCGTGGCTGGCAGGAGTGGGGGAGACTGGTGCTATTCTTGTAAGGCCCGATGGGCACGTGGCATGGCGTGCCGTACAATCGCCCACTATTGGTCACTTGGCAGAAATAACGACACAGCTACCTGCTGCCACAGATGATAGTGCCGCTGCTGCTGCTGCTGCTGGCCCTGATTCGCTATCTTCTTTTGTACCTGGAACGTCACCTGCGGCGGCTGATGCGTCCTGTGCTGGTGTTTCGTCTGAGCATGTGACAGCTGTTGCAAATGCCTTGTCAGTAGCACTGCGAAGGGTGCTTGGATGGGAGGTCTAAAAATTCTTTCCGTAAAAAGGAAGTTTAAACATCAGTGGAAGGAACGCAATGCTGTGGGCAGATATGTAAAGTCGTACATAAGGAAGAAGTTTGTATTAGTGGCATATTGTGAAAGCTTGCTTGGGTCACCTTGGCAAAGGCAGCGTGCTTCATTTCATATGGGCTACAGTACATGGTTCTCGTCCAATAGACTACACCGTCCAATAGGGTGGGTGGGTGGGGAAAACGAAACTGGAACTAGAAATGAAGAACGTGGGTGAGGTCGAATGGCCTCACGTCCCTCTTTTGTAGGCAAAAGAGGGTGAGTAGCGCTTCGACGCTGACCTTGCTGCGTTGGCCCTCGCTACACTTTCACAATACACATTTTTTAGAAAGTGTTACACACTTTCAAAAAATTACATGTTTTCACTTTACAGGGAGGGATCTGTTGGGCTGAGAAAAGCCCTTAGGATCTTTTGCAGAGACTAAGTCCCAGCTTGTAGAAACTTGAGACTTGGAGTAGTGCAGCGGAAGTTGAGACGGTTGAACCCTTGTACTAGTATGTGAGAACAAGTGATTGATTAAAGAAACAAGCATACAGCAATATATAGAAGATAAGGAAGCAGTTGTAGAATACAGTTACAGGAACGGTTTATCGAGTCGCACAGCGACTCGATTGCCGCTTCGGTTACCATCCGTGATGTTGTAACGGTCAGTCGCAACCTCCAGTTGCGACCTTTCGAGTCCTTTCGCATTCTTTGTCCGCCCCCTCGTGTAACCTCCGTTGACTCGCGTGCTCCCCTGTAATCTTCCTCGAGTACAGTGTTACACTTCAGAAACGCTTAAGTCCTTGAGATATTTCCAACACTCCCCTTCGTTTCTGGAGTGCTGGAGTGTTCAGATCCGGTGACGTTTGTTTGCCCGGTTAGGAGCATGCAGTAGTCGAATTTTGCTTTCGCCAATTTCTTCGTCAGATAATCTGCGGCCATTTCTGTCGTCGGGCAGTAACTGAGTTGAAGTCTCCCCTTCGCGATTTCATCCTTGACGAAGAAGTACCGCAGGGCGATGTGTTTGGTTCGGTTGGCGAAGCCGTCCTTGTTCGCGATTTTTATCGCAGATTGGTTGTCGCAGAGGAGTGAGAAGGTGGGCAGGGTCGCGATCTTCGCTTCTTCGAGTAACTCTCGTAGGTAGAGTCCTTCCTTGGTCGCAGTACAAAGGGCGATATACTCTGCTTCAGCCGAGGATAGTGCGATTAACTCCTGCTTGCTCGACTGCCAGGAGATAGTTCCGATAGGTTCTAGTCGGTAGATGTAGCCCGTCCTAGACCGTCGATTTTCGCTGTCTCCCGCGTGGTCGGCGTCGACGTATCCGAGTAGTCGTACGGACGGTGTTGTTGCCTTGCTGTAGGTGAGCCCGATCGTCGGCGTGGAGACGAAGTAGAGTAGCGCTCGATTGAGTTCTTCGAGATCTTCCTGTTGCGGCTGCTTCAGATGTGTCGCCAGCTGGCTCGCACTATAGGATAGGTCGGGTCGGCAGGTTACTGTTGCGAATAGTAGACAGCCGAGCTTCTGTTGATACTCCTGGATTTGTTTCGCGGGGAGTTTTGTGGAGGCGCTACTGTTGTTCCCGTAGCGGTAGGGAGTTGGGACCGCAGTCGGTGTTAGACCGAATTTCTTCGCGACGGTGCTTGAGTACTTTCCAGCGTGTAGGTAGAACGCCGTGTCGTCTTCGACGACGTTCAGTCCTAGGTACTGCGTCACCTCGTCGGACACCGTGAGCGTCAGGTCCCTTTTCAGCTCCCCTTCGAACCAGGTGACGATGTCGGTGGTAGAACCGATGTAGAGCAGGTCGTCGACGTAGACGATGAGCAGAATGTAATCTCTTCCCTTCTGTAGTCGGTACATGCCTTGGTCATGTGGTAGCTGTAGGAATCCGATTTTTACGAGCCGGCCGTGAAGGTGCTGCTGCCAGAGCCGTGGGGCTTGCTTGATCCCGTAAAGGGATTTTTCCAGCTGGCATACTTTTGAAGGGTCGTCGATGAATCCGTGGGGTTGTTCGACGAAGATTTCGGCGTCCACAGGTGCGTACAAGAAGGCGTTTGCAACGTCGATTTGCCGTAGTGGTAGTTTCTTCGTGGCCGCGATGGCGAGTAGGATGCGCAGAGAGGTGTGACGGGAGACTGGAGCGAAGGTTTCTGTGTAGTCGGTTCCGTATCGTTGATCGAAGCCTCGTACGACCCATCGAGCTTTGAATCGTTCGATGGAGCCGTCTGAGTTGGTCTTGATGCGGTACACCCATTTCCCCGAGAGAATGTTCTTCCCGTTGATGCTCGTTGCAGGTACCAGTTTCCATGTTTCTCGGTCTTGCAGAGCTTTTAACTCTTTTTCCATCGCTTCCTTCCATTGTGCCTTATGTTCCCCCCCAGAGCCTGCGACAGGGTCGACGGCTCGCGCGGAGAAGGCGGCGGCGGGTGCTGGACGGAGACCCATAGTCCTAGGATCTGCAGTCCCGTGGCTGTGTGTCGAGGGGAGTTTTCATTCTCGGGATAAGCTGCTTCATCACCGTCTTCAGGATCGGGTAAGAAGTTTGGCCCGATGCGTTCGGAAATATTCGAGTCGACGGGGTGTGGTGTAGCGTAGCCTTGGTCAGCGAAGTGGTAAAAGGTGTCGAGGTTGTTGCTATCGAGAGGATTATCTTCATCGAGTGGAACAGGTACGGAGCAGTAGGGGAGTGGTCCGGCAGCCTCCGAGGCTCCAGGGACGTCTTCTTCTGCTGCGTCAGCCTCGGCAGCATGGTCAGCGAAGGAGCGAAGGCCCGCGAAGCCGTCGGTGGGGTCGTCTGAGTTGGCAATGTTGTCCAGGTAATGCTGCAGCGTCAGTCGCTCGTAGAAGATAACATCACGTGATGCCACCGTATTTTTGTCGTGTATGTCGAGAATCTTCCACGCGTGAAAATGTTTGGCGATGCCGAGGTGTAGTCCCCACCGAGCTCGTTGAGTGAAGCGTCCTGCTCGAGCTGTGTGGGGTCTGTATTGTACCATGCAGCCGAAAACTCGAAGTAATTTTGTGCTGCCCCTTTTTCCCGTCCACAGCAGGTGCGGTGATGCGTTGTTGGGGAGCGATGACGAGGACAACAGGTTGTGCAGGTGGACTGCATGTGTCATCGCGTCTGGCCACAGTGTATTGGGCAGCCTCATCCCCAGAAGCAGTTTTCGCATCGTCGTCTGCAAGGTCCGGTTCATGCGTTCTGCTACCCCCTGCTGCTGGTGAGCATAGGGCAGAGACACCAGGCGTCGGATTCCCCTTTCCGCGAGATAGGTCCTGAAGCGTTGTGACTGGTATTCCAGTGCACCGTCTGACTGGAAACTCTTGAGTTTGGTTCCTGACTCTCGTTCGGCGATTGGAAGCCATGTGGTGAAGGCCTCGAAGGCTTGATCGCGCGTTTTGAGATTGAAGTGCCAGACGTATCTGGTTGCGGCGTCGATGAACGTGATGACGTAGTTGAAGTCGGCTTCGGTGTCGTCTCGAGGCATGTTTAGAATATCGCTGTAGACCTTTTCCATCGGAGCGTAAGTGGGTGCGCTTGGATTGTGATGGGCTGGGAAAGGTTGATGAGGAAGATCTGCTTCGGGGCACGTGAAGCATCGTGCTCTTGGTCGGCGAAGTTCTTGGCCGCTCGTCGTTAGAAGGGCGTTACGTTCTAACACCTCTGCTTGTATTGTTTGTAGTATCGTGCTGTTTGCAGGATGTCCGAGACGTTGGTGCCAGATGTCGTCGGGAGCGCGGTGACCGGGCGAGCGGTGGTAGATGTCGGCGTTGGAGAAGAACGCGACGACCGAGGCGGGACTTCGACAAGCTTCTCGTGTGGCGGGCATAAGTTGGTCTGCTTCCGTTGGCGGTCCTCGTGTTGATGGTGGTGGTACTCGGCTGGGTCCTGCTGCCGATACTGCAGGTGATGGTTTTGTTGGGACGCTTGCTGGTACTTGTCTTTCTTGTCTGATAACTGCTAATGCCCGTGTTCTCTCTGCTGCAGGTATGGTGTTGGAGTGCCAGAAGCCGTCACTGTCGAAGTCGGGATCAAGATCTGGTGGGTGAGTCCAGGCGGCGAACGATACGATGCCATCGCTGTCGGCAGTTCCGCGGTCGGGGACGAAGTCCAACACGAAGACACCGGACTTCAGGAGGGCACGACCGATGAAGAGACCGCCCTTCCCGTGGTAAAGTCGGAACTCGTTGGAGAAGGAGTCGCACTCCAGGTGAATCCCCTTAGCCATTAGTTGGCTTACGCTTAGTAGGTTGTATCCCAGATTGTCGACGATGAGGACTTTGTTGAGCTGAAGAATAACGTTTGTCTCCATTGATTGTAACTGAACCACGCCTTGCCTGTTTGTTTTCAGGTTTTCGTTGTTGGCGACGGTGATGACGACGTCGCGGTTGAGGCGTCGCTCGTGTTGTACGAAGCGTCCGGAGGAGCACATGTGCTGACCGCAGCAACTGTCCAAGAACCAGGTGTTCCGCCCGGTGGGTTCGGCGTTAGCGACTGCAGCGTATGTCGGGTTGACCTGAAGTCCTTGCGAGCGCGGCGGCGGGAATTCCTCTTCGTCTGGTGCGTAAGTGGGTGGTGAAGCGGGTGCGCAGTTGTCGATGTGTACCATGCAGTTGATGATGTTGGGTGTTTGTTGTGCAGATGTTGAAGAGCGCCTTGGAGGACTTGCTTGAGTGGAAGCGACTTGTGGGTCTGCTGCACGGTAAACGCGAGGGCGGTTGCAGTTGACCTTGGAGTGCCCGGAAGTCTGACAGTTGTGGCAGAACGGCGGCACGATGGTGAGTCCTCGGTTGTCGCGTTGATCTTGCTTGCTGCGTCGGTTGTAGTTGTTGTCATTTCTTCTTTGAGTGTAGAAGACTAACTGCTGTTGCTTCCTTGGTTGTCTTTCCTCGAACAGATCCATCTCCTGTTGTTCAGCGTGAAGCTCGGCGCAGAGGTGCATCTCCGAAATTCTTCCGTGGGCTCGAAGAAGTGATCGTGTGGTTCTCCATTCTGGCCCGAGCCCGGCGAGGACAAGTGTCACGAAGCTTTCTTCAGTGATCGTTCCTCCGCACCGAAGCAGGCGGTCGCGGAGGGTCTGGCAGCGACTCATATACTGCATCG